TGACGTTGGTGTTGAAAATCCGTATCTTGTCTCACATGCTGAGTGCGGAAGATCTCCACACTGGTTTCAGGCTAATGAATGCCTGTCTTGATTTTCCAATCCTGGCTGACTTTGACGTCCTCGTCTGTGCCACCTGTAGTTGAAACAGTGCTTCCTAGATAGGTGAAGGAGGTTACTTCCTTTAAGTTTCTCCCGTTGATGGTGACTGGAGTTTGTTGTTGGTGGTGCGGTATCTTCATCACCTCTGTCTTCTCTATATTCACTTGAAGTCCCGTCTTCGCTGCCTCTTCTGTCAACTTGTTAGTTTACGCCTGTAGGTCTTCAAGTTTATGTTACATCAGGCACAAGTCATCGGCGAAATCCAAGTCTTCTAGGTTCTTTTCCGCAGTCCAGCCAGTGTATGCCCCTCTTCTCGCTCCCCACTGTTTGTTGCATGATCCAGTCGACCACAATCAGGAATATCATGGGGGATAGTAGGCAACCTTGTTTCACTCCTGTCTTCACTTCGAAAGCATCACTGAGCTTCCCATTGTGAATTACTTGGCATGTGGCGTCTTCATATAGTTGTTGAATGAGGCTGGTAAAGGTTTGTGGTGTTCCGTAATATTGAAGCAGTTTTCAAATTACTTCTCGGTCGACGCTGTCAAAGGCTTTCTCAAAGTCGATAAAGTTGAGGTAGAGAGTTGACTGCCATTCTATACTCTGTTCTATGATGATGCGTAGTGTAGTGTTGCAATTTGGTCCTCACATGATTTGTACTTCCTGAAGCCTGCCTGTTCCGGTCGTAGTTTTGAATCGAGTGCATCCTTTAGCCTCTCCAGGATGATGCGGCTTAATATTTTGCTCGCTTTGGGTGGACAGGAGAGTGATTCCGCGCCAGTTCTTGCCAACACTGAGGTCTCCCTTCTTCGGGAACCCTTCTTCCAGTCGCCAGGTACCTTCTCTTCCTTCCACACCTTCTGCAATAGTGGTGTGGTGTGAGCATGTCCGCTGTTGTCTCTGCGTCTGTTTTCAGTGTTTCTGGCGGGATTCCATCTGGTCCTGCTGCTTTTCCGCATTTCAGTAGCTTTGTGGCGTTCAGGACTTCCATTTTTGTTGGAGGATTTATGTTCACTTGTAGTTCAGCGGCTGCAGGTGGTGTTTCTGGACGAAGTGCAGGTGGTGGCGGTGGTCGATTCAAGAGCTTCTTGAAGTGGTCGGCCCAACGTTTCCTTTGTTTCTCTTCTTTCATAATTAAATTTCCTTCTTTATCTTTTATTGGTTTCGTCTGCGTTGATCTCTTCCCAGATAGCAAGTGACCTGGTTATTTGATACAGTGTCGTCAGGTTTCTCTCCTACCAGTCGGCAGCCTGTTCTGCTTCACTTGCCAGTGTTTCGTAGAAGTGTCTTTTGTCTTTCCGTGCACTCTTCTTCACTTCTTTGTCCAGTGTTTTATACATTGTACTCAGTTCCTCTTGTCGTTGAGCATCCATGCACTGGTTTGTCTTCTGCTTCACCATCCTCCTCTCCTCTATCAGCTTCCAGGTTTCCGTCGAGATCCATTCCTTGTCTTCTTTCTTCTTCCTTCCTAATACTGTTGTGCAGGTTTCTTTCCACATCTCTTTCAGAGACTTCCAGTGTTCTTCCACACAGGTTTCTTCAGGGATGTTCCTCGATATCTCCCATTTTGTCTTGATGGCTGCCGTGAAGATCTCCTTTGTAGTTTCATCCTTCAGTTTCCGAGTGTTGTACTTGAACTGCGGTCTGTCACCAGCTTCCTTGAAGGCTTTTAACTTGATTTGGAAGGTTCCTTGCACTAGATAGTGAGTGGTGTCAACCTACATCTGCTCCTCTTCTTGACCTTGTGTCAAGTAGACTGCGTCTCCACTTTCTTCACATTAAGATGAAGTCGATCTGACTTTTAGTGTTTCCATCTGGTGAATGGTGAAATCCATGTCGCTTTGTGGATATCTTTGTGCTTGAACACACTGCCTCCAATTACCAAATCGTTGAATGCACAGAATTCTGCAAACAATTCTCCATTCTCGTTCATCACCTCACCGAGCGCTTCTTGACCCATGGTTAGCTTGTCTTCCTGTGTTGTCCCCTCCCAGTTTGGCATTCATGTCGCCCACTAGAACGGATTTTGATGTCGCCAACTGACGTCTTGTCCAGTATTGATTGCAGTTGTCTGTAGAATTCCTCCTTTTCTCTTCATCTGCATTATTTGTAGGTGCATAGCGTTGCATTGTATGATTGTGACCTTCCTTCCTTTTGAGTTGAATTTTGCTGTCATGATCCTGGAGGAGATTGTTTCCCACTGCATGACGGCCTTCGATGCTCTTGTGAGGGGGACATCATGATAGCCACTCGATAACTGAGTGTGCTCATGGTTGTCGTCTGGGTGAGAATGTCGGAGTAGATTATCGACTGTCCAGTTGACAGTTTGGAGAGTCCACTTCCATTCCATCTGCTTTCGCGAATCCCTAAGCACTTTCAATGCGATACCTTCTCATCTCCTTTGCAATCTGCGCTGCCTTGCCAACTACGGTTCAAGCATGGTGCGGACATTCCATGTTCCCACGTTTACTTTCGCTTTCATCGAGGAGAAGACACATCGACCCGGCCAATTGGCTTCCTGAAGGCTTTCACCAACTGGCGTCATTTGGCCTCTCCGATTCCAGCGAGGAATAATTTTGTTATTATTTTTTACATTTTGTTTGTGCTTTGAAGTTTGTTTAGCGGTTAGGTTTGTTTTACGGGGTAGGGTTGCTAGCCCCATGCCCAACTTTCCCTCTTTACCCGGGCTTAGGACCGGCTAGTAACTAGTGAACTAGTTAACCAGGCGAGGTTTGATTACCTTCTTGGATTCCAATAATGCGAGTATGTTTGCGCCCGCCTGGTTGCAAGAAACAAGCAGCTGTGAAACTTTGTGCGCTCGACTCGAAGGGGTAAGTCGTATATTTAAGGAAGAGGTATCTAAGCGCTTATCCAAACATGGCAGCATTTCTCTTCCTGATGAATCCTGGCGTAATATTATTAAGTTTGCCATAAAAACAGTAGTAATGACAATTAGCAGCTTACATCCAAAGGTTAGCAACATCCAGTGGGTTTCCGCTGCGTCATCCAAACTGATTGATGCGAGAAGACTCATTCCAACTTATTTTGAATACTGGTAAAACAATAGGTAGTGAAACCACCTCCCAAAAGGATGCAGCCTTATCTCAGGACAGGGGACTAAAACGTTAGATTGGACTTCTCGGAGGACAGTTCAACTACCCTACAGCTACACTTCAGTCGCCCAGCATATAATCCGAGTTAGACGTAGATGTCTGTTCTCCAACCCTTCAGAGCTAAGAAAGCTGTTTCAAACCTGAAACGATGCAGAGCACCTGGACCCAACGGTTTGCCACGCGGATTCTTTAAGGATAGAGGCAGAAAATTACTGATTAGAGTAACGGAGGTACTAAGTTGTATGTGGGAATCAGTAGTACCACCAGACTGGTATACTTTACCAATCGTCCCAGTCTATAAGGGAGAGAACATTTCTTGTAGCAACTATAAGGGAATCAGTTTAATTAATATCGTGTCCAAAATCCTTGTATCTACAGTAATCCTATGTTCGAGAACAGCAAACTCAAAAAGAGCAGGCAGTTTCTTTACCCGGACGAGGGTGCACCAATGAAATCTTCACTCTTCTACCGGCGGCCGACATTTTTTTATTTCTTGACCTGATGGTAGCATTCAACTCTCCGACCATGAGGCGTTGCGGTAGCGTCTGAATGCATAGAGTATTGAACCAGTATGTTGAGCCAGTGAAAGCTATCTACTTGAACTCGCTCAGCTGCGTAAGAGCTCATGGACAGTTGTTTGAAGTAACGACAACCAGTGGTATCGACCAGGGACGCTCACTGTCACCATTCCTGTTCTACTTCCCTAATGACGTGCTAATAGACGCAACCGTAGGTACCTCTGACTTCACAGGAATAAACCCAATCCCTGGAGGGCATCTGGTTGACTTGGAATATGTAGACGATATTGTCCTACCAATTGAACACGCCGACAAAGGTGCCTTTTGATCAGTTTGAGCAGAAACCTATGTATGTTGGACATACGTTTCACACCTATCAGATATAAGATGATACTTCACAACTGGTATGTAACTACCCCCAGTTTAAAAATAGGGAGTGAATTGGTGGAATGCGTTGATCACTCCACTTAGAGAATTGCATCAGGCCGCCCGAACTCGTTCCTGATAAAATCTCATCTCGAATACGGAAGGCACGTTTGGCATTTACCAACTTGTGTCATCTCTGGCGCCGGGGAGATATCCGACTATCAACCAAAGGACGAGTGTATTGCGCTGCAGTGCGTTCTGTCCTGTTTAACGCCTGAGACATATGAGGCTGCAGTTTCTTAAATGTAGGTGTTTTTGTAGCATTGCTTGCCTATGGTGGGACGATTATGTTAACAATGTTGAGGTTTGGCTAAGGGTACTAGGTAAGACAAGTAAGTCGGTTAATGAGGTTGTGAATTCTCAGTGAACGAGATGGCTTGGGCATGGGTTGCGCATGCCAATCCACCACCCTCCTCGACGTGCAATGGCAGTGTTTGGATTAATTTGGAATATAAGGCTCAGAGTAGCCAGACATGGCACCAATCCATGAAGGCTGACTGTTGATTTGAGCCGGGTATGGAGGAGTATATCACTTGGATGGGTTTTGCGAGACAATAGATATAAATCTTTGCAGACTTTTGGTGACATGATTGAGAACCGGTCACAAGTGCGCAGATATATTTACTCTTTGACATCTGCCACTTGAATATTTCCACTCACCATTTTTGAATTGGTTCTCCTCCCATACACCTTTGTCTACTTTAATATCGGTTCTTTTCTTCCCACTTGTTCTTTTCATGGTATTGTAAATTATGACAATTTGAACCGATGAACTTGTATGCTAGGTTCTACGTTAATATTGTCTATCCTGTCTGGAATGAAACACTATGAAAACTCAAATATACAACAGTAGTAGTAGGTACGCTAAGTACGAGTACGGGTGTTGACGAGACTTTTCTGATTAAAAGACGAATCAAGGGACAGTGCTGGTAATTGAAGTCGAGTTACTTGGTGAATGGGGCGCTAGTTTTTCATTGATCGTTGATCCTAGTACTAGTACTCTGATGCCCACTTGTTCAGTTATTCTTCTTTATGTATGTGAGGAACTGGGGTAAATTTGAACTTGCATGAGTTGTTTGGCTCTTCATATAAGCTTCTTTGTGATTAAACCACTAGTTCCTGTATCAAAAACCAAAAATAACTGTTTTTGGTTTCTCAAAGCCAATCGTTCAGTTAAAACTTTAGTTTCTATGATCCTTCTTCACTATATCTTTATTCCCTTTACCTCTTCTTTATTTCTTCTCTGCTGCTTTTATTTGCTGACGTGAAACACGGCAAACTGAACCGTTGCACATCGAAACCAGGTTTGTGGAATTGTGGTTTACTGACTTGAGCATTTGGTTGTAAACCAATGAGTCCAAGTTTCAAAGAGCACTACGTAATTTCACCTAGATAACGAGACAGTATCATACATCAATAAGTGTGGTCCATAGCTTATTACGTAAGAATACGTGCCGGGTTCCGTTGCATGTTTTTTTAAAAGATATCCTATTTTGACAGCATCTATATCTTCAATGATGAGAATCTAAAATCGTCTAATTTCATCACTTAAGTACTTTTTATTTAATATTCCTAGCTTTCTACACTCGGAAATAAGGCTTTAAACGACAGAGTATGTATTGTTATCTTTAAGTGATCCGATTCTTTTTATCTGCCAACACGTATATAACCCTTTCTAAGTATCGTTCTCATGTTTCCCATATTGTTCAGCGATTGGTATTCAGAAAGTGGAGATGCTTCGTGGTGATACCTACTAACTAGTTGATTTGATGTTCTCCCTTCCTTAAACTTTTGCTTTTTGTAATTTTTAGTAAAAGTTGTGATTAGTTCGACCACATCAATCTGAAGACAGAGGATCGGGTAATCCATACTCTTGAATCACAAACAGCTGATAATGGGTAAGCACTATGTTTCAAAGTAGTTTCACAATTCCAGGTGGCATACTTAGTTTATTTTCCCGCTTGTTTGGCAGTAAAGAGCGTAGGATTCTCATCCTAGGCTTGGATGGAGCTGGGAAAACAACAATTCTCTATAGGCTGCAAGTTGGTGAAGTGGTGACAACTATCCCTAGTAAGTAAACCACTTCTGCTGTTTAATAGTTTCTCATGCCTTGTTATTACTGTCTACCGTGCAAAAATAAATTCGACTGAGTAAATACTCGTATTTGTGTGGTAGTAAATCAACTTCATTTTTCATATGGAGCTTAGTGTTTTCATTGGCTTCTTAATTATTGCATGGCAGACTGAGCTTGTACCATCACTCTAAAGTGAGACAGCTGTTGGATCTATCTTTAGAAAGAGCTGTCAGTAGCTTATAAAATATTGCTGCTAACATACTTTGGAGGCTGTGTGGAATACGTGAAAACTGATCAGTGAAGAAGAGATCGGATTTCGTTCAATTCATGGATGCGTTGATCATCTATTTACCCCGGTTAGATGCTCAAATACCGCCACAAGTATTATAAGCCAACATTCGTTGTATTTCTTGATATTGGGGTTGCTTTCGAACCGCTGAATAGAGTTGTACGCTGGAATTGTCTGTTAGAAAGAAGTGTCTCTGACAAGTTTTTTGCAGTCCTGAACTTTAGCACCTCACGTAGAGTACCAAGCCAACACTGGGATTAGTCAAAGCTGGTTGATTTCGTCATTCTCCTTTTACTCTGCTGTTGATGAAATTTCAGGGATAGTCGTGAAGGAGGTGAGTGACGTTGTGAACCTGTTACCAGGTAAAAGACCTTTTGATGTCGATTATACGGAGGATATCGTTTAACCATGTAGCAACAAACAAGCTACTGAAATCGCACTCGATCAGTCGACAATCATTATTCGTATGTATGGTATATGCTTTGCACTGTTGAAGTGAGAAGTACTTCTACAGCCCAGGCAGGAGCCTGCACCTTCACTCAGCCTTGGTTTGTTTGGATGTGATGGAGATAGTCATTCACCGAGCAAAGTCATCTTAAAACACCAGCTTTGAGGGCTTGACTTTTTGTTACTGGTGTTATCCCAGCGGCTCACATCGCTTGCCTGGGACTGATTGAAAAAGTGGGAAGGTGGTCAGTGTTTAACTTGGTGGCGTGGGATGAAGGCGACTGGTACTGGGTTGTTATGTGTAGATGCTTCACGACTCTCTGGATGGGTTTCGAGAGTTCATATGACTAAGTGACGTAAGATGATAGCAGACATGGCTTGGAATGAAAACATTTAGGAATCATGCTACAACTTTCTTGTTTCATCTATTACTTAAAAGTAAAACGACAAGGGGAGTACTCCCTTGAATTTGACATTTAAAACGTTTCTTCAATGACCCATTTCCTTTCTTCTTCATTTCTGTCTCACGTTTATCTCCTATTGTTGCTGCGTTATTTTGCATAGTGCATATCTTGCTGCCTATATTAAACTAAGTTTATTTCCAATAAAGCAAAATATTTCAAGAATGATTAACCCTGGAACCACGAAGTGCCAGGCTGTTTCAGTAATTAAAATGAATGCCCTTAATCATATGATCGGTGACCAGTTTATAGCGTTTCGATTACTGGATCTAAAAAATGGAGCTTTTAAGACATTCATTGCCATTTATTCTCTTTTTAGCGTTTTTCGACTCTCTCATTTTCCTATCATAATCTCCCTTTTCTTAATTGCTTTAATTATCCTATTGGTTTTCGTTTCCCTTGCTAAAAACTGGTGTCCATATATATATATATATAGGTAGCCTGCGGTGCTATCCCAAGTTTGCTTGTTTCATCACTATTATATCATGAACTGCGGAAACGTGAATCACTGCATTTTTGGCAAGATTCTACGTTAGTCTACCCACTCATTCATTTGGGTCTGATAAGCTTCTTACTAGTCTATTGACCTGTTATCTGATTTCTAAAAAGGGCATCTGTGTCTACAGTTTGATATTCACGTCTAAATCTTGAAGATCCCATTTCTCTGGATCATTTTTAGTATGATCTTTCGATTGCATTCTCACCTATTCCCTCAACACTATGATATGATTTCCATTGCTTTAAAAAGTTTTTCCTTTCTCTTTTCATACTTACTGTAGGAGTTTCAGCTGATATTAAGTTGTTTCATTTTTCAATTGTCTTAAAATTTGTACTGCTATTTATTTTACTTAAACAGCTCGGTGAAAAGACGAAAATTATCTGAAATATGTGTGATTTGCTATCTGCTTTGAACGCATTTCGAGCAATCTGATCACACATGAATTTGTTGAATCATTTATAAGAGAAATTCTGAAGAAAGGTTAATTGAGTCAATGGGGAACATAAAAGTAGGAAGAGCAGCACTAAAAACTAGGCCTAAGTGACATCACTCTTGATATAAAAATTGCGATCAATACACTACCAAGGTAGGTTCAGTGACTACCGTTTGTATTTGTATACAAAACAAATGACCTTAACTGACCCGATAAGTGCAGGTGACAAAAATCCATCTTCATTCACTGTCAAACACACCAGAAACTAGTCGTAGGGTATATATGTAAACAACCCTTAAGGTATTACATAAAAGCAGTCAAGGCTAACTGCTTATAGTTGTTGGTGCTCTAGTTATCAGTAAATTTAAACCCCCTTTTCGTATACAAACACAGTTTGTACTCACTTTGAACCTACCTAGGTAGTGTATTGATTGTAGTTTTCATACCAAGAGTGATGTCACCCAGGATTTATTTTTTATGTTCTGCCCTTTCTATTCTTATGTTTCCTATTGACTTAATTGACTTTCCTCGGAAATTTCTCTTATAAATGGTTCAACAAATCCATATGTGATCAGATGGTTCAAAATGTGTACAGTCCTAATATACTACACGTTTCAGACGATCTTCATCTTCTCCTTACGTTGTTTAAATTTATCAAGCAAACTAATTACTTTGTGTTTTACCTAAGCTTGAATTTATGATTACTGTCCTAATTCAAGGGTAAAGTTAAGACTTAGAGCTGTAGCGAATTTACAAATCTTTCTTACCTGATAGACGGCTAAAGAGTAAAAATAAAGTCTTATCTAATTAAATGAGGTCAGTGTAGTACCGGGCAAGTATGTAATACTAATCAAAGCTCTCTGGTCAAACTCACGCAATCGTTTAAGGGCTTATGAAAAGGTTTCGTCTGAAGCAGCGACAACTAGTGGTGTTCGTCAAAGATCCTTGCTGTCTTGGACTCTGTTTAGCTTTGCTATAGACACACTGATGGACATAACCCCAGGGACCTCCCGCTTTACAAAGAGATTGACCTACTTCAAGTTGGACACCTGGTAGTCTTCTTGGAGTACCCAGACCTCATAGTCCTGTCAGGCGAAGATGCTGATGAAATGGATAGTCATTTGAACACACTAAACAGACATCTGAGGATGTTTGGCATATGTTTTGCACCTGTCAAATGTAAGACTGGTCTACGTCAACTTTTAATTTAAGGATACAAAGTGAAGCTGTTTAATTTATTGATTGCTTCACTTCCTGCGGATTACATCATCCCAAATGAATTCGAGTGATCAATGAATCTCAGCTGGGATACAAATGGTTCATTTTCCATCGTCAACTTACAACATATCTGTTATCGGCATGGATATGCGACTACCCGTAAAAGGATGAGTGTATTGCACATCAATCCGTTACGCATCATTCCATGGCTATGAGACATGACTTTTGAGAGTGGAAGATATGGAGTTACAGGTTTCTGGCCATAGGCGTCTTCGTATCATTGCTGACGTGTGATAGAATCATCTTGTGAGCTGTGTCAAGTTAAGACGTTGGATACCAAACGAGGAAGGCAGATGCGTCGATAAGATTATCAACCGTCACTAACTGAGGTCCCTTGGAGGTGCGTTGCGCGTGTTAAGTCAACACTTACCTCAACGCGGATTGGTAGCTGAAGAAAGAATAAGTTGGAAGAAGGCTAAGGATAGCCAGACCAAAAAGTGGCATCAGCTGAGAAGTCCGACTGTTGGTTGAAGCCATATGGGGAGGCGTAGGCTGCCTGTTTGAAGTCCTAGTGACAACTGAAAATCGGTCGCATTGGTTTGGATGTATTCACCTTATAAAGTCTTCGAAAATATGAACATTTTCATTTATTCTTGTATGTCCTGCCATATACTTCAATCTTTTTCTACCTACTAGCTACTTGCTTTCAGCTGTGTAGCAGGGCAACTTGATTAGATGCACTGTTGTGCCCAGGTCACTTCTCCTTATTCTTTCTAACCATTGATCTAGAAGACTAATTGACATGCAAACCCCATAGATAGTTTTAGATTAAGATATAACAGTTGTTCAATGTTACATGATGTGGTTTGATCGAAACCAGCAATATGTTTATATTGACTAAAATTATGTAAACTTTTGTCTTTTAAACTCTAGCCATCGGATTTAATGTGGAAACTGTAGTTCACAAGAATCTTAAATTTCAAGTGTGGGATTTAGGCGGTCAGACTAGTATTCGACCCTATTGGCGATGCTATTATTCCAATACCGACGCCATAATATATGTCGTTGACAGTATGGATAGAGATCGAGTGGGTATTTCTAAACAGGAGTTATTTTCCATGCTTGAGGTGAGTTGTGATATTTTTGTTTAAAATTACTTCATTTACGTTGTTACTTGTGTTATCCGCCGTTGACTGAACCGAGTTGATCGGTCTCTGTTGGCATATGGACTCTTGCGCAGATGCCTTGATATTACTTATCGTTTCAATTTTGTAATGATGAATAGTGACTAGGAGTGGGATCCGGGACGCGCGTTTCGTTCTATTTTGGGACACGTAAATTAGATGGACCTGCCTCCCAGTGGGCGATGTTGTTCCCACTAAGACTCGAACCAGGGACCGATCACAGAATCACAGTCGCCACTTCTTGTGCGGCGGGTATAATGGCCCAATGGGTAGCGGCCTGGGTTTTGAAGCGATCGGTCCCGGGTTCGAGTCTTGGTGGGAACACCTTCGCCCATTGGGAGGCAAGTACATCCAGTTGACGAATGAGTCCCAAATAGGACGAAACGCGCGTCCCGAATTCCACTGCTAGCTACTATCCATCATTATTTCATTTACGTCTATCATCATCTGGCTTCTATCGCCACTTTACGTTCAGTATTTCCTTTTGCTTTATCAGTATTCGAGATATTGTTAGGCTCAAGCAATTTGTTTGTTTATCTCTAGCTTACGATACTTAAACTGAACTAACGTTTACTGTCAGATGGAGCTTAGTGGTTGTGCAGCTTTTCTTTGGATTTTAGTCTTGAGCTGGTTTATTGTATCTGTAGGTTATCAACTCTGTGTACCTTGTTGTGTAAAAATAGTAAAAATTTTAGTTTGGAACAAATAAACACAATGCTGGGTAGTTATGACTGACTGGCCAATCAACTTTCTGGTGTGTGGTAGTATGCTTACATTGATATGAGACTGCCTCGAATCAATCACGTCCGGCACAAGTGTCGATAGCAATTTTAAGATCAACTCCAAAACTTTTTAAATCTTCCTTCACTTGGTTTGATATACCAAACATTGAAGCAGCAACCTCGCATAACTTATACAGCTGCATACTTCGTTGCCAAATGCTGCAGTGAGCATAAAGCTCAGGCAAACGTTAGATAGAGTTAACTTGAACAATGATGTTGATAATACTAATTCGCTCAACACCAAGATAATCAAGTACAGAACAAGTACTGAGATGCTTGCTAACCATGCGTATTACGCGTGTGTTGACTGAGAAATGGCACATAAACCTCTTAACCACCAAGAATTTTTCGAGAGATGGCACATTTGACCTCATTTTTCTCACTTCATCTGTAGCGATTGGTGTTTTCGAAGTAGTCCTGATGGTATATACTCCTTGCTTCTCATAGTACCACACTGGGTTAAATCAGCAGCAATCAGCTTCCCACCAGCTTATCAATTTATTGCTTACTGTGAGTTCTTTTTGGAAGCAGATGGTACCTAAATCCAGGATACCGCTGTTTTTTTCGAACTCTCGTGGAGTGTCTACAGCCTCACCACAAACCTTATTGGTATCTAGTTTACACTGAATGTCACTTGATGTAGTTGTGTCGTGGTGGTTCGGCTTGCATAACACAATGGCCCAACGAGCTATACTGGTGGAAAACTTGTTCCCTCGAGGTCCTACCATACCAGAGAGGTTTGTTGGATAGTAGTTAGACGAAAATCAGTTACTGTCGTAGTGTGAATTACTACACTATGATGGGGGTCTAAGGTCGAAGTCGTACTGCTGCTAGCTAGGTGGGGTGTGACAGCAGTAAGTTGTTTCCCTTGGATGACCAGCAGTGCCATGCTGATGCTGCCTTCTCAGTAGACGGGCGAGGTTAGAAAAGTTCGGCCCCTAAAATAACACACTCCACCATGCCCCACAGTCTGCCAGGCCGGCAGTGCTGGTTCATTTGTCGTTTCTTTTGGACCACCCGGCCCCAAAACAACAAAAGTTCAAGAAAAACATACAGAAAAGGCTGCTTGTGGCAGACCTTAAGCAGATGTCCGATGGGCTCTATGGTCACACAAATCTCTTTCAGGTACTTTAAGAAGAAATAGCCTTCCACGGCGTGGGCAGCCGGGAAGTGTCAACCGCCCTCACAACTCTGTCAGCACTCAAGTTTCTTCTGATTGCTATCCATCTCCTCCATCATTACCTTCTAATCTTCCTTCACGTCTCTTAACTAACGATACTACATCATCTTCAATTTCTCGTAGCTCTGCAGCCTTCGACAACGATCTGAATTCACAGAACAGTATTCTTGGTCTCCTTAAACCAGGCTCCAAATTACATATTACAGCCTTCAATGTCCGCACCCTCCATCAAGTTGGTCAACAGGCTTCATTGGCGAAGACTCTAGCAGCTCGGGCATGGATGTGTGCTGTGTTTGTGAGACACGCATACAGGACCCAGGTGCGGTTATTCACCTAACATCTCTCGGCCAATCTGGTGAATCCGCAAAAGTCACCCTTTGAATTTTTGGAGATTCGATAGCTAGCTTTCGCGGTCTTGCAGGTGTAGGCATAGCATCAAGCAGTAAAGCAGAAAACTCACTACTAGACTGGATCCCAGTTGATAGTCGCCTCTGCGCTATCTGAATGAACGAAACATTGAGAACTAAAAGGAATAGTAAGACTCGCCGTTGTCTCTTTGTAATCTCTGATTATGCACCCACCGACTGCAACTCGGATGAAGTGAAGGACGAGTTCTACCGTACACTGTCTAGCCTCCTCTCAAAAGCCAAACGTTCGGACGTGGTGGTTGTTGCAGGTGATTTCAACGCACATTTGGGTAGACTGAGTGAAGCAGAAAGGCATTCAGGTGGCACTTTCGGAGTCCCGGCTGAACGAACAGATAACGGTGATCGCCTACTACAACTGTGCTCAGATGATCGCCTATTTTTAGCCAGCACAAATTTCAGACATAAGAAAGGCACTGTCTGACATGGCGTCCACCGAGCTCAACCTAGCAATGGACACAGATAGACCACATTGCTATTAGTCATCTCTGGATAGGATCGGTCGAAGACTGCCGCTTTTTCTGGAGTATGTGTTTGGATAGTGATCACGCGTTGATCCGAGCGCGTATATGTCTGCGTCTCAATGGACGTGGGAAACATTTCGCAACAAAACCACCACGAGTACTGCTGGACAACGAAAACACCAAAGCTGTGTTCAGTGAGAAGTTGGTTAGGCAGTTATCAGAACAGAAGACTATCACTCATCCAGGAGAAGCTTGGTGTCATCTTCAGTCTGCTGTAAAAGCAGCGCTGAAGACCGTAGCCGACTCCGAATGATTGGCTAAAAAGACAGTGGATATCAGCAGATTCTTCCGAACCAATGGATGCACGTGAACGCATCCCTGAAGGCCCTGAGTACAATGAAGAGTGAGCGCAACTTAAAAGTAGATTGAGAAAAAGTCTACGCAACGACCACGAACAATGGTGGGCAATGAAGGCTAAAGAGATGGAAAAGGCGCCGGCGATTGGTAACAGTACACAGTTATTTGGACTTATTATGGAAACTTGGGGAAAAAGGTCGACTGCAGTTAGTGAGACCATAGCGGAGAAGGACGGATCTGCGATTCACTCGCAGGGGAGACGACTGGAACGATGGGTAGAACACTTCGAGGAGCAGTTTAACTGGCCTCCAGCCACCATTGCATTGCCCGCTATCCAAACCTTTCGTGATGGACTTCGTCAGTTTGTAAGAAAATACAATCCTGTTAAACCTTTTTCGCTAGTACAACACATTATTAGATGAGACTTATCAACCACCGTTTGGCGTCTTGGATTATGCTTTGAAAAAGCATATTGACGCAACTTATAAAGCGGGAAAAAATAATCGATAAGCTGTCGAACTTCTCAGTCTCAATCTGGTTAACATATATTCAGCGGAGCATCTTAGATACCTCAGAAGAGAACCCGAAAGAAAAAATTTCGTAGCGTAGCAGAGTCTTCCTAAATGAGCCCGTCTTAAGTAAATGAACTATTTTCCCTTATCTGAACCGTGTATTAGCGCAACACATTTCGAACTATCTGATCACACACGTACTTATCATAGGTATGTATATAAAAATTCATGAAGATAAGGGGTGAGAAAATAAAAAGAGGTCAGAGAAGGCTGAATTAAAGGCCGAATAACAATGAAAATCAATAGAGCGAAAAACAATAGTACATCGAACTTGGTTTTCAATAGTTGAACTTACCAAGGAAGATTTAATGTGATAACAAATTGTTGGTGAACACACAAGGTGGTTTCAACTTTCTAATAGCTAAGGCCTCGACAAATTTAAGGATCCCTCCCCAACGTGTTTTGTGAATAGGTGTAAAGGAAGTAGCCACACCAATCCTGTGGCCTGTCTCAACGATATGTTTGTCGATTGAAGAACTTGCTACCAGCATTTATGGGTTCGGGTGATTTAATTTGCTTCTGAAGCCACTTTGGAATATGTTCCGAGACCCTTACTTGCATGGATCCATTAGTCCTCCCTATGTATGTGTCACCACACGTACATTTGAATTGGTAGATACAATGGGATGTGACATTGTCGTTCACATGCTATGGGGGTTTAGGGGAACATACAGGCCTTGTGGTTTCTATTACTCGAACTCTGACTGCATAGTAAGTCCTTCTAACAGTAGCCTTAAGTCTCTGCTTAAGGATTGTACTATAAGAGTCACCTTTAAACGGAAGACTGATGAAGACATCCTTCTTTGGGACAGACTGAAGATCTAGTCTTGGCGCTCTGATAATTTTGTTCTGACTGATAAATGTTGATGGATAGTTATTATCCAACAGAATATTAGTCAGTGTTCCTCTTTCATCTTCTAAAGTATCCTCTGTGTATATTCGTTGGATTCTGCTGAATAAGCACCTTACTAACGTTCGCTTGTACTGAACTGGGCAAAAGCTATGGTAATTCAGATATTCCCCTGTCCATGTAGGTTTTCTGTAGATAGATCGTTTTATGGATCCATCCTGCCTTTAGTATTCACTGGGCAAGCTTATGCGTTGGTGACTTACACATTGACATTATGGGACGTAAGGGGTTGTTGGGTTTGAGTACTTTGGGCAAACCGTAAAGATGTAGGAATTGGGATTCAGTTGGTTTCAGTAGGGAGAATCTTTGTCTGGTAATGAAGTTCATTTCGAGCAGTTGCACAAGATTATCGCTCGCAGGTCCCTGTAATAATTGTACGTCATCTGAAGAGCAATCTTTGGTGAATTTATTTTCATCTTCAAGAATCGATGACATTTTACATATTTTACACGTAAGCTAGTGGAATTATTGAATCCCATTAAGAAGCACTTCTGTAAGTATTCCTTAAAAGATACATTTGAAGCAATCAAATGCCTTGAGGATGTCAACGTAAAGAGTAAATTTATGTGTCCATTTGACGTTAACTCATTATTTACCAATGTCACTTTGGTCAAGACAATTGACATTTCATGTGATTATATTTCAGTGCGTAATTTTTCGATACCCATTTCTTTGGATCATTTAAAAGAGCTGTTACTCCCATGTACAAGTAATATTAAATTCACCTTTGAAGGTGAACATTTCCGCTAGGTTGATGGTGTTGCTATGGGAAGTCCTTTAGGTCCCCTCCTAGCCGACATATTTATGTCTCACCTGGAGAACTTAGCCGAGAATCTAATAGACCAAGCCCATCTGTATCGAAGATATGTTGACGATATCCTGATCATTTGTGAAAACTCGAATCAGTCTACTTCAATTCTAAACCGATTGAACCAAGTATAGAACAGCATATCCTTGACATGTGTAAGAGACGAAGGTGACTAGTTGCCGTTCTTGGATATACTATTAATTAGTCGAAGGCAGGATGGATCCATAAAACGATCTATCTACAGAAAACCTACATGGACAGGGGAATATCTGAATTACCATAGCTTTTGCCCAGTTCAGTACAAGCGAACGTTAGTAAGGTGCTTATTCAGCAGAATCCAACGAATATACACAGAGGATACTTTAGAAGATGAAAGAGGAACACTGACTAATATTCTGTTGGATAATAACTATCCATCAACATTTATCAGTCAGAACAAAATTATCAGAGCGCCAAGACTAGATCTTCAGTCTGTCCCAAAGAAGGATGTCTTCATCAGTCTTCCGTTTAAAGGTGACTCTTATAGTACAATCCTTAAGCAGAGACTTAAGGCTACTGTTAGAAGGACTTACTATGCAGTCAGAGTTCGAGTAATAGAAACCACAAAGCCTGTATGTTCCCCTAAACCCCCATAGCATGTGAACGACAATGTCACATCCCATTGTATCTACCAATTCAAATGTACGTGTGGTGACACATACATAGGGAGGACTAATGGATCCATGCAAGTAAGGGTCTCGGAACATATTCCAAAGTGGCTTCAGAAGCAAATTAAATCACCCGGACCCATAAATGCTGGTAGCAAGTTCTTCAATCGACAAACATATCGTTGAGACAGGCCACAGGATTGGTGTGGCTACTTCCTTTACACCTATTCACAAAACACGTTGGGGAGGGATCCTTAAATTTGTCGAGGCCTTAGCTATTAGAAAGTTGAAACCACCTTGTGTGTTCACCAACAATTTGTTATCACATTAAATCTTCCTTGGTAAGTTCAACTATTGAAAACCAAGTTCGATGTACTATTGTTTTTCGCTCTATTGATTTTCATTGTTATTCGGCCTTTAATTCAGCCTTCCTATCTGACCTCTTTTTATTTTCTCACCCCTTATCTTCATGAATTTTTATATACATACCTATGATAAGTACGTGTGTGATCAGATAGTTCGAAATGTGTTGCGTTACTACACGGTGCATACAATTTGCTTCTGATTGTTTCGTGGACGTTTGTAAATGGAACTGATTGTTTTGGATTCTTTTCCCTAATTCCTTTTTTCTTCTCATACGAAAATTGATTAGTTAAGCATCAGTTTGAGGGATAGAGGTCGGCAGACCTCCGGTGTTTGTTGATATCGCTAGAACTTGTTCTATGGAAGGTCGTAGTGGGTCGAGGTGCCTTCTTTATTTGCTGCTGCCTTCTGTGTCCATCTCACACTTTCATTCTTACAGATTCTTGCTACTTACTATTAATAAGTAATGTGATTTAAGTTGGAACTTGACTAGCAACCTTGGTTGTTCATTTCTGTAGTAAGCATGTTTTTTTATTAATTTAACATTCTGAGATATTTGTATATACCTCACTTTATGAGTATGTTGTGCTCCTTTTGAGTTTTTTCTTGCCACTATGCCATCATTTGAACAGATGTTCATCTTATTGCGTTTATTTTTCACTGTGAATATACGTGTTTTTTGATATTGTAGGCTGGTTTGCTATGAACATAGCTTTGCTGTTTGTAATGTTGACATACATTCTGTTGGGCGATTTTAATGTCGATTCGCTCACAGAGACCTCACGAATCGAGCATTTTCATTGGGCCAAATCCTGTGTTTTATAATTTACGCGTAACTCAAGTGCTCCGTTCACTTGTCTAAGAGTCACGTTATGTTTTGGTTTCGCAGCTTTTAAAAGACATCCACTGTGATAATTAGTTGGATATGAGGTCGTTCTAAATATTAGTTATTTCAAACGCATAGTGAATAGACGCGTCTGCAAAAATTTTATTTGTTATATGTTTATCTAATAGCTTTCTGTTTTTACAACTCATTTTGATGGAAAATAGACAATTTGTTTAGTTTTGTTTCAAGGCTTAAGGTAGTGCATTTGATAAGACAAGTACTCAGAAAGACAATCAATTTAACATGGAACCTGGCATCAATGTGCGTCAGTTTATTTTGCCACAATTCACAGCTACATTTAAGGAAGTGGGAAGACAATTGATCAAAAGGCTATAGAAAAGTCTATAAGAGGATAAAGAACAAATAGACAATGACAAAGGATTTATCATTATTGATTCTCAACATCTCGAGGACAGCAATCAGTTAGCTTACACCCCCTAATTGGCTGAAACCACCTGATGTAACCGAGCAGATGATAATAAAAATGTGATACGGAAATATTGCAATGCGATAAGTGGACTGGATACGAAACGTGACTGTTCTACCTTAGATCTGACATACTTCACTAAGCCACGAAAGTTAGAAGACGAAAACTGCCCTTTGACTATAAGGAAGATAACTTTATTTGACAAAAAATGCACTATTTATATACACTTTTCCCTTAAAATGAAGCCACTAGATCACAAGTTGGACACATTTTCGCTGGTCAGGTGAGGGACAAAATTGTTCAATAAGGCTTTCCTGCCCACACAAAAACAAAGTTCTATTCCGAAACTTCTATTTGGTGGCTGATGACTTTGAATACTGTTTTCGATGTAGGCTCTTCCTATCACCAACAGTTAAAGACTTCATCCTCCGGTACTAAGTCTTCGTCTGGCCACCTTTATCTTCCTGCCCTCCTAGTCGTACTTTGGCTAACATCGCCTATGGAAGTGGTCACTTGCTCGGCATGCACAACACGTGTTCTAGCTCCCTTGGTAAATGATATTTCACAATCTCATCAGTCAACTTGCATTCCTTGCTCAGTACTCTGTAATTAACCTCAACTCTGTTTACGTAGTAGTTCGACCATACACGAATAATTCTTAAAAGGCACCTATTATCAACAACCTGTAAATTCTCTATATTTACTTTGGATGATGATGTCTCACAACCCTGCATAAGACAAAGCGAACTGCTGTACACTTTAGTCGTCCATTGATAGATAGATATATAGTTAGATGTCTGTAGTGCTATAGGTAGCGTAAGTGAGAATCTGGCTTATTAGCCACTGACAAAATCTAGTCGTCTGAACATCTTGAGTTTTACATTTATCAAATGATGCTTAGGGGCTGATAGACATTGACTCCCAGATTAAGGAAAAGCAGTTAAGTGGTTGGATGTATTGGCCACTTCATTTAATTGTGGGCCGTATCAACCCAAATGGGTTTGGCTGCTGAAAAAATCTCAGCTAGGATACAAAACGCCCTTTTATCAAACTCATGCCATTTATGGCACCAATGAGACATCCGACTACCTAGTAAAGGATGAGTTGTTTTTATAGCAGGTCACTGTGTCCTATTTTACGGCTGAGAAATAGCTGTCAGTATTAATAGATATGAAGAGGTTACAGGTTTCTAATTACAAGTGTCTTCATGGTATCGATCACATGTGGTGGAATCACTATAAATCTATTTTCTCTTAGATCGTTATGTTATTTTGGTGTTTATGATTCTACCGTATCACTTTTGATGAATGCACTCTTTTACTTTGCGCAAATCGTATTTTCTTATTTTCCTAAAGCATATACGCAGTCGATTCACTTCTTTTTTGGTTTTAATATGATGCTGTGTGTATTGATTTCATTTTTCAGTGCTGTTGTGATGTGTATCAGTCTGAACTGAAGCCTTTTTATGCAAGCTAGTAGAACTATGGAACCTTGCTGTGTTTGAGCGTCTACCGACGGATTTCAAACTGGTTAATTAAGGTGAAGGCGACTGTGCGTTGGTTCTCGAAAGCTTTGAATTATTTAAAGGATTCCACTAATTGTAGATAGCCTTATGCACAATTTTGGTGATGATAATTCTGACTGAATCGCAGAAATCCATTTCTCGTATTATCTTTTTGCACTATTTTCTAATTCTGAGGGATTTTTCATGTGGCAGCATTTCATTTAAAGAACAAAATTATATTTTGTGGTTAATGGTGATTTCATTTTTGAGTTTAGTATTCATCAGGGACTGAGATCAGTTGGAGAACCATGAAAAATGAGAAGCCGTGACTTTTGGAACTAACCAGTTGGAAGTGAAGCGAATGCCAACTGAAGACCTTGGGTGATAGTCACACTATATGGCGAATTGACAGAAGTATGAAACTGAAGACCATTGAACTCTAACCCGGTGGCTAAATCGTTAACACGCTTGCCGTAAAACCTGAGTTTGATCTCTGGCGGGGTCGTGGGTGTATACTGCTGAGGAGTCTCATACTATGACGAACCAGCCGTCAAGTGCCTCCAGGTTTTTAATGGTCCTCCGACTGATGTCAATCTGTGATGAATACCACCTTGAAAAGGATAAAACTATAATCAAGATTTCCCCACTCGAATATCCTCTCGCTTTAGGGTACACATCCCAAAACCTTACTACAACCCTTATTTTAGCTCCAGGTAAACTACGCAGTACTCATTAAGTCATAAAGCAGAGGATAAACCGACTAGAATTTCTTTCCAGTGCCGCAAAAGAAATTCTCCACGCTGTTTGTTTTTCCTGTTTGATGATTCAATTCTCAAGTTTTGTACTTTGAAATCTATAGAACTTCACTTCATATCTATTGGATATGTCATGGACTCAATGTCATTTTCAAAATTTTCGAACTCTACTACCTGGATAATTTTAAAGGAGCTCGTACGAATAGTTTAGAAGTGAATGGGGACCATTCGAAGGCTCTTTCTTACAACCATATCGCAATTCTGGTGGTATATAAACTACGTTTAAAACATGATGTTTTAAGGTCGCATGGACATCTTTATCTCATGTCTTGTGTACTACTGAAAGCATGCAAGCGGTTGACACTTTTTGGCTCCTCACACTGTAGAAGATTATTTTTTCTTAGGGTAATTGAAAGAAAAAAGCTTTGTGTGACCACAGAGCCCATGAGACATCTGCTTGAGGTCTGTCGCATACAACCTTTTGCCGATTGTTGTTTTGAGATTTGGTTGTCCTAATATCGGACAGATCAAACCCATACCTCCGGCATTGGAAGACCGTGGTCAGGTAAGTGTGCTATTTTGGGGACTGACCTTTCCTAACCCCTCTTCCCACAGAGAAGGGAGCATCAGTTTGGCACTGATGGTCATCCAAGGGAAGCATTATCCAGCCAGCAGTTCGATCTAACCTTCAAACCCTCATCATACTGTAACAATGTACACTACAACGCTTTTCGTCTTGTCACATCATCCTACAGACCTTTCTGGCATGGTAGTACCTCAAGGGTACAAGCGTTCCAGCAAGTGTAACTCGTTATATCATTGTGACATACAAGCTCAACCACCACGTCTTGGTAGCAGCTATCAGCCGAGTTTTATCTTATGTACGTTTACTTCAAGCAGAGAAAAGTAGCAGAAAAACACAATTAAGTTTCAAACAACTTTAAGAAAACCAAATCTACTGTAAGTTTCAATTCTTTATTAAAAGCTAAGCACGAAAGACCATTCGCTTATTCGTGCCTTCAAGGTCACTTGACAGTCGCTCAAGGACGACCAGACTTTATAATTCTACCGCGAGTTTTTACGCTTATATTTCTCTTTAGTACTTCTAATACTTCGGCATTGCTTATGACAAACACTGCATTTAATCATCTGTATTACATTTACTCATCACTTATTTGTGCAAAGAATAGTGTTATTATTTATGTCAGGATGGTTGTTAACATGTTAGCGTTAGCCAAATCAGGTTGGATGTCTCTTACTTCTCCTCATACAGTTTCCACAAAGATAATCCATATCAAATAGTACGTTACGCTCTATCGTATGAAGTTTAGGATTTCACCGAAAGAAATTTGGAAATTGTTAGTTTTTGAAGAAAGGATACAATTTTCGTTCCCTGCTGTTATTGATGAATATAATGGGTACTGCACGCTTGTCACGGTTGCAACAGAGGACAATTTTTCTTTTCGACAAAATCATTCTCTTGGTTGTACATTCGTGAATATATAGTGGAAAAGTTAGAGGACATTCCTGAGTAATTTCAGGTCGAAAGTCAAAATAGATTGTCTGACAAAGGAAGTTACATAATCTCTGTAGGCGATTAAAATGGAGGAACAAAAAGTAATTACAAAATCAAAAATAATTACGTCATATGAGAATTATCTAGAGTGATCGAAACTCTATGATGACCATAGCAAAGAAAGAGATTGTACACACTTCTTTTGAATGCATAGTGATCATTTGAACCTTTGAGTTGCTAATGTTTCACCCATTCCCAAATGTCTTAACCTCGCTCCCTTCGAGTGACTTGGTCATACTAATCAAAAGGAGCCAAATGTCCTGAGTTTACTAGGTGTTCTTTTACAGAGCTGCAGGATGAATTTCCGTTCTCCCATTGTCAGCCAAGTTGGGTAGTGTTCGCATGCTCGTTGGATAAGCTGGAATATGGTACGATCGATGTACTCGATTCCATAGGTGCGAGTAAACTAATATACACAATGATGTGACCCAATGCTCCAGTTTATCCTTTGCGTACTGGTAAGTGTGTCTCCGATAGGAGAATATGTTTATAAGGTTAGCGGCAAAGAATCATCTGTTTATGGGTCTTTCTCTAGGTATATCTGCCATAATCTTTCTTTGCCATGGTCATCGTAGAGTTTTGACCACTCTAGATAATTCTCACATGACGTAACTACTATGTATTTTGTAATTATTTTTTATCCCCCCCTTTTTAAGTGCCTATAGAGATCATGAACTTCTCTTTGTCACACAGTTTGTGTTGACGTTTGACCTGAAACTATTCTGAAATGTTCTCTATATTTTCTACTTCAAATCGACGAATGTACAGCTAAGAGAATAACTTCGTCGAGAAGAGAAAATTTAGCTCACTGTAATCACCTTCTATGTTTTCTTATGGATTTTTTCTGGATATATTGCACTTCGATGCAAAGTAAGGTAGCTAGGTATTGGTCATCAGGGAGTTAAACTTTCACTGATCATTGATTTCAATAAAACTTCTTAATAAAACGATTTTTTTCTGTTGGCACTGCTGAAACCTTTGTGATTCACACTTAAGTATAACAGTTAGAGGTATGCATGTTTTGCCATGATTTTCTTGAAAATAATTATCTAGTCAAATTCATTTTTCTGTCTGTTACAGGAAGAAGAGCTTCGGGGAGCTGTATTAGTAATTCTGGCTAATAAACAAGACATCTCAGGGTGTATGACTATCAGTGAAATAGCTCAGTCCCTTGGTCTAGCTGCGATCAAAAATCGACGTTACCAGTTATTTAAAACTTCTGCACTGAAAGGGGAAGGCTTAGAGGAAGCTATGGACTGGTAAATATTTATCAAATGAATGCATACTTGTTAATGCTATTAAAGATGTATAGTGGTTAGCAGTAGAATCGATGGTCCGCGTTTCCTCCTATTTGGGACTCGTCAGCTGGATGCACCTGCCTACCAGTGAGCAGTGCTGTTCCCACTAGGCCTCGAACCGAAGACTAATCGTTTCCATCACTAGCACGTTAGCCACTTGTGTGAAGGGTATGGTTGTTTTGGTATTTTTATCCCGTCGTTGATTGGACCAAATTGGTCTCTATTGGCATGACATTCTGCTAGTTTAAATAATCTTTTGCTTTTCTATTTATATTACTATGTTAAAGTTTCAGTTTACTTCGTATTGAAACCATCCTAACGAGTTAATCAACTTTTGAATAAAATTTGTCGTGCATCACTTTACTGTATAATTTCCTTCCTTTATTCATTGAACACATTGACAAGATCAACGTAGAACCTTGCACACAGGTGCATAGGCTCAAGTCGCCACACTTCGCAGTAGTACACAAAGAACAGGGAATAGAATAAGAGTGACATCAAAGAGACAAAGTAATGTAAGAGAATGAACAATTTGAAGATAACGGATAGCGCAAGTATTCAAGCTTTAAACGATATCAAAGAGTGAATATATCTGCGCCATCCCACCAAGAGTCCTCAAACAATGATTCCTTTAGGCTCGGGGACCCCATCCAGGCAGTCTACATCTCCTCACCTGACTTAGACCAACACCGAGAGACTTCATCGATTGGTGCCGGGTCTTGTCCGGTCAGTTTGTTTGTAGTTGATAATTTGAAGTGTGGCTCAAAGAGGTATTTCACAAAACAGTTGTTTGCTTCAGAATGCATATCTGAAAGTTCTTTTTAAGCCTCACGAAAATTATGATAGATTTCTTTACCTAACTCCCCGAGTAACTTAGTCAAATTGATAGATACTATGATAGTGTGTCACACAGATGACCTCAAAACCTTACTTAAAGACTTCAAAACGTGGTGGTCACAGCGTGCAGCTACAGATATGCTTGCTGACGAGTACCAACAAGCATAGGACCTAGGTTCAGGGCTTCCTATCGATTGCTTCCAATCAACTAACCACTGCAATGGCGTCAGACAATGCAATATTCACTGGTATTCAGCTGTAACTGTATACCTTGACCTATCCTTAACATTTGGCTTCATCGGAGGAAATTATAATATATTGACTTGTATATCCACTTATAAGCATTGAGCGTTAGTTACTAATCCAATTCATTTATCAAGGAAGGTTCTTGCAACCACGTAGTATTATAGTCCTCACAATAAGTTTGGATGGTTGTCTGGTAATTAAACCGATACTTGGGTATGAATATTTAATAGTTTTATGATAGTGTTAACAAGTAAATCACATTGAAAGTTCTTTCCTTAACATTCTTTGCATCTTGGCTAAAGACAATAAAAAACCTATCATACCAGGGCAACAGGACTAAACGTTTATTCTTCCCTCTGTTGTTCACTAGTTTGGAAGTAGTGTATTAAAAGAGATGTTCGGTTCATTGATCTAGGCACTTGATTCCCAACTGTTGGTTCATCAGTTCGAATTCAGCTCTACTTACTAAGGTTTTGGCAGTCAGGTAGTATGATTAGCCTTGACAAAATAGGTTGTAGCTCACTGCTTAATACACGAATGTGTACATGGTTGGTCTCAATATCTGATTTCATGTGTTTTGGTAGGATTTTAAGTATGATGTTTAGTTATTTGAAAGAATATTGTTGTACAGATGCATTAAATTTACTACATCAATATAATCAACCTAAATGCTTTTTGATTTAATTCCTGAATAGGCTATCAAATACTTTAAGTGGACAGAAATGATATTACTTCTGTTGAAGGTTTATTCATATTATACCAAATTGGCTGGTTTCTCATATTCACCCGAATTCTGTTCCGACAATGCATATCGGGGTAAACTTGTTCTGTAAAAGTTTGATTGACAATATTAAGCACATATATGCTTTTTATTCTGAATTATCTATAACCTTACTCTATCAAATGTACAACTGAATCTGTCTGTGATACATTTTCTATTCTTTTCTACATGTTGATAACTGACAGACATAATGGGCTCTAAGTGTTTGTTATTAAGTAATGACTACCTACTTTCTCTTAATTTGTCAGTGTTTTCTCTAGTGTTTGTTTGTTGTTTTTTGGCATGTGGATCATCCCGTTGTATTATAATTTATTACTTAGGCTGGAGTTTGGTATAACACAAAACAAATGTGTACATTGAAAGTCATATATCACTATAATATTTTACTTATTTTACCCTTGAGAACTGTACTTCAGCTTTGCTTAGTCATCATTAAACTTCTACACGTGATGAATTTACTTTGAAAGATTTTCAAATGTCACATATTTAGACAAACATTATCATTTTCTGCATGATTTCTATGGATAGGAAAATGTCAAAAAGAGCCAGAATAAAACAGTGTATGAAGTCTTTGGTTGTCGCTCTGAACTGTGAGGAATATGTAGACCTCCTGGTTGGGGTTTACATGACAGCGAAAATCGACTGTGTTAGACTATAGGTTATGTGGTTAAGTGGGCCATATGCAAATAGACATTAGTTTTCCATCTTAACCGTCATCCCCAAATGAGTTGTAGCTCAGAATCAGAATTTTGGTGTTCTCTGAGTTTAGATATTTCGTTGTGGACGTTTCACCAAGCCTGGTGATGAAACATACATGACAAAATATCAAATCTCAGAGAATATCACTAACCATCATTTCGTGATTTATTTTACCCCCTCGTACTCTTTTCCTCTACGGGTTTTGATCACATTCTCCTTCTCTAATTGTCAATTTTTTTTGTATTGCTGCCTTGTATATCCTGATGTGGTGATATTACGTGGCAACTTGTATAGTGAAATGGACGTGCCAGGTTCCATGTGGCTATTAGCCGACTAATGATTCATGGGGATTGTAGATATATGGTATTTGTGATAGTGTTCTCGGTCAGTAAGATTTTCATGTTTGTTTGAAAGATGAAAGTGCAGTGAAACTTTCATTATGCTAATAAAAAGAGTTATGAATTTCTTGTTTATTTAAACAGTGAGGCGTATTGACAGATGTAGATGTAGATGCAAACTTACGTTTGAAGCCATCAAATAGGTCACGTCAGAACATTTATTTAACCTAATACAACATTATCATATCAGGCTATCGAATTAGAGGTGTTAAAGCAACCAAATTCAACCTCTGATTAGAACAATCACAATAATGAAAATGTTTGACGGAAACAAGTGAATGAATACATGTTCAAGCTATTGTGGAACATGATGCGTAATGCATGTGCTGCTACGAACAATTTCAAACTAGGTAGCCTAGATATTACGGATGTATAGTGACTAGCAGTGGTATCCGGGACTTGTTTCGTCCTATTGGGGGCTCGTCGGGTGGTTATACTTGCATCCCTGTGAGTGATAGTGTTCCCACTGGGGCTCGAATTCGGTATCCATCACTTCAAACGCCGCAATGTTATCAACTAGGCTAATTAATTACAATAGCCACTCCTTTTGCGACGGATGTGCTTTGACATTATAACTTAATTTCCGTTTTTCATTGATTTGAACTGGATTCATCGGCCTCTGGCGAATACCCCGATATAGTCGGCAATTTCATCCTAATATGGGATGATATGTAATTACAGAATTCCCTCGACGTCAGACAGTTATTCTGCACAAGACAAGGTGTCAAATGCTTTGAATACATATGTGACTGAGTGCCTGTAAGCTTCGCCTTCGATGACCATGCCTCTTAGCCGCATAAGAACCTCGAGTCGTACCGGCATCTCACCAACACCTCAAGTAGTGTGGGTTAACAAAAGCCAGTCGAATTAACAGGGCTAACATTATTCATCAGATGAGGTCGGTCCTACGAATCTACTGACTCTCTGTCGTACAATAGCGTATTTTTACACGTAATTTCTTGGGCTAGATCAGGTTAATCCTTCCCTATCTATTTAATATAAGCGGATTTCTTGTGAATCGAAGGTATCATGCTTCAGTTCTGCAGGTCATAAACAGTTTGTTTACCGAATAATTTTGAACTATTGTCTTTGAACAGTTTTTGGGATCCATTAGGCACTTCCACCCTCCGTCGTTTCAAGTTACAATCTTTACTAGTTCTTCCTTAAATGAACTTGATATTTTTGTCTTTTTGCTGAATCCATAAGTGTTGCAGTTGTGGTTTTATACATGCGCTACAACGGAACTTATCCCATACTTAGAGCTCTAGGTTTTGCTGCATAAATAGGGAATCATTTGCCGAGTACAGTTCCAGTTTACTAGTCGAATCAGTTGGTTTTCTGTCAGTCGGTGACGTATTCGAACCTCGCCATACTTACCTAGATTTGGGTAACCGGGCAGTATAATTAGCCCCCGTAAAAGAGGTGTGGCTCAATGCTTATTGCGAGAATCCTGTGAGACACCAGCATTTTATTCACTAAACGCCAATAGTAAGCAGCTATGATATAGTCTTTTTATTTTCGTTTCAGACGTTGGAAGTCAGTCGGCAGGAAGCCCCAGACTTAGGCTTCATGAATGTTACCATACATCAGCAAGCTGTCTGCAACTATGATAAAAACGGCGTTCCGTTGGCGATAAGAACTTACGCCAATCATACTGAAGTCAGAAGCTTCACCACTAAGCAGTGTCACGTCGACTTAGCTTAGTCGTAACACAGCAAACTTGATCCACAAGCTTTGGTTAGTGATGAACATTGTAAAACTAGACAGTTGCCAACTAGCACTACTTTGATTTCAGTGGCCAATGACCAGAATCCCTCCTTTCGAAAGTCATTGCTTGTCAGGTGCATAGAGAAAGAGTTGAGACTAGCTGCTAAGTTTCACCTCTGTACGACTGACTCTTCACAGAGGGCAGTATCTCAGATATCGACAGTTGTAGTGTATTGGTCTAAGATGTCAAACTCAAGGCGGTGCAACAGACCGTACAAGAGTTATTAGGTACTGAAAGAATTAGCATTTGGATATAAGATGAAAAGCAACCAAGTGAGCAATGACTAAGTGTCAACCCGATGTAAAGTGAAGAGTGAGTGTATATGAACATCTGGGACCGATTTTGTATCATTTCGTCTAAATACTGGTTCCTAAAATCTTGAGCACAACAATAAGGACCACCATATGACTCAGACCACTAGCCAATGACTGCTACATCCTGGATTGATCACAATAGTATGGCAACCTAGGCTGGTGCATACATAATTTCATCAGGTAAAATACCTGCTAGTGCTGTGTCTGACTTCCCTATGATCCCACTGAAAACATAATGGTTCAAATAATTGATGTTTTCACCGCTCAGAGTAGTACGTACATGGTTTTAATGCATTTGCATATTTTTCTGTCGCTGATATATTTATTGTTTGGCAAATATCAGTCGAAATTTCGCTTTTCGACAAAATTCCTTATGTAGTTAACGGATAAACGCGTTCAATAAATCCTATCCACATAAACTAAGCACAGTGCACTTTCTAATATAACTGTAATCTTTTGTTACGTCGGTAACTTGTCAGCGGAAACTAAATTTTAATGAATCAGAGCAGTGAATAGCCAAGATATCCTACATCCGTTTACTGTACGCTTCATCAGAATCCTAGTTTGTTGCTTTTGGTTCTTCATTATCAGCTTTTACTTTCGAGCATCATCCCAATTACTGACATTTGGACAAAGAGGAGATATTTTAGCACCCATAGGTTCAGCTTATAGTCGTGATTGAGTGATCTGTGAATGTCAGCGATATTTCTAGTATTTACTCACCGATCTTCGCTATCCTAGCTCCTGTTTTCTTATATCCCGCTGAACTCTAGTATATACAGGAAGGACAAATCTAAGTACTGTGAAGGTTCTGAATAAGTAACTGAAGGCTGATTTCAGCTCATCAGCCGGCCTCAAAGATGACGCAAGTTGGCAAACGCTAAGCGAGCCCTCTGTTAGAGCTAAGATTCCACCAACAATCAGCGTGTTCGCACTGACTACTTTCTCAAGTTAACGATGAGTGTAATCGACCATCTTACTCACTCTTCTTGAACTAACTGGTGGTTGCAGGCCAGCCCTGAAGCATTTGACAGTGTAAAACATACACATTTCTTATCAAGGCGATCAGAAGACACTACATTTTGTCAGCGTCTCCCAATAGAGGGACAATACTCTCCTGAGAGTAGACCAATTCCTGCGAGACCAAAGGTACAATGGTTACGTTCATTAATACATCTATAATGAGGTTTAACAGAAACAGTGGCAGCGAGCATTCCTGTTGGACACTAGTTGTCATTACTTCAGACACAATTCATAAGTTTGATACGGCTGTAGAGTTCAAACACAAAGCTTGGTTAGTATCACATACTTGCTCCATACTCCTCTCATGGTCAGACACTATCGAAACACCTCGTAGTCTATCGAGTCAAATGCCGCATACAGATCAAGTAATATGGCAAGTGTTAGGCACCCATTATAAATCCTGCTACTTTTTTGTATCTACTTTGGACGGGGGTCCCAAACTATGCAGTAGGACAGACAGGACTGTTGCACATTATACTTATCCTTTAATAGGTAGTTGATATCTCACCAGGATCAAAACTGCACAAGTAGACGAATATCAAACGACCCTTTCTAACGAATACTACGAGATCGCATGACTTTTGAACTTGTAATATTTATTACCTGTTTTAAATCATCATAGGGACGGTTTTAGATCCTTTACTATCCAAAACTTAAGCATCCAATTTAAAAAGGTAACGGAAAGTGATAAGTTTAACGTGTACATAGTCTTTAGTAGATACCCACTTGCAGTAATTGAAGATACGTTACCAGTCAGTGTCTACATAACGGCTGATCTGAAGTAACAACGAGAACAGAAAGCATTAATTTGGCCAGTGATGAGATCGGTTGGACTAGCGAAATGTTGGCAGTTTAATAATGAAGGTTAGACAGTAGTCTACGGTTTTCACGCTTACTGTCAACTTGTTACATCTGTTCCAGAGTACTAAGTATTTTTAAGCATCCCGACCATATTTGTCATAAATGTCTTGAAATATTTAGCTGAAGACACCATGAAACACTTTGTGGTCTTCATAGACCATAGTGGATGGTCAAATCTTCATCCAACAGACAGTACTTCCATTACAACTGTCTGATATACTTCTTTGACTGGTCAGTAATATCACTGCCTGTAAACGTGATGTCAACTTGTGTGAAATTTGCAGTCGTTTCTGGAAAATAGCACCATGAAATACTTGGGGAGGATACATCTCCATAAATCGATGGACTTTGCTGAACTACGTCTGAATCTAGTCTTACAACATACCAAGCTGTTATGTTGTATTTTGTATACAAATACAAATAAATGACAGCTATTGGTGACTTTACAAGAGTTCAAAAACGTTATATGAATCCATATATGTTGATCAAAATAATAGAACCGGGGTGAAATTCATTTACACGATGATTACATTAACATCTGTTCATGCACAATCAAACGATATCAATGCTTTTTAGTCCAAGATATCCAACCACTGTTATAAGCAGCACACATAGTACAAACCAACCAATACTATGTCTGCGATCGCTTGTGACTTCATATACTTTTTCATGAGCTCCAGAAAAGCGAACATGGGCTCTAGAACGGAGGCTTGTATCCCCGTCTAACTCAAATTCATCACTGTCGTGCGAAACATCGGAATTCTGGATCCTAGTATTCTTTACTATTGCTGTTCAACACTTACTCTTCCTCAATCACCATGGAAGATGGAAGACAGTGTTTTAAAGAATTAGAAATCGGACATACGATTAATCATCATCGCAAGTTTCTTGCGTAAAATCTTTCGAGTGACATCATCTTAGATTAAGTATGATGCAGCCAAATGGCAACAAACCTTGAATAGGTGGCGGACAGTATCCTTTCTCTGATAACTCAGCTCTCAAGTCATCATCTGAAAGGGCCAAAATCCTCTCCATTTTCACAAGTCTAACCTGCTTCAAAACCACCTCTGGAACCAAAAACAACAAGCAAGGTCGGAAAAGGCGGTACACAGGTCCAATATCCAAGTTT